CTCCCTCCCCTCTCTCCCCCCTTCCCTTCCTCTTCTCCCTCCCCTCTCTCACCCCTCCCTTCTCCCCTCTCTCCCGCCTCCCTTCTCATCTTTGCCTAGCGTCCTTATCCAATCATATGGAGTCATTCAGGGTAACAGAGTTGTTGGAACTTCAGCATTACTGGTTTTCCTTAGAAAAAGAAGAAAAAAGAAAGGAATAACGTTTTTGGTTCTCGTGCTGCATTCTCTTAGTTATTGTTGGAAGTTGAATGGGTAAAATGTGTACAAAATTACAAATGCTTCAACCAACAAAAAGAAAAAAGAAAAAAGGAGGAACACAATTCATAATTCATGTAAAAAAAATAGCACTGTGAAGATGAGAGATACCCTACTGTGAAAGGGGTGCTGGGATTTCAACAGCTGGGTGTCGGAGACCACAAGAGCACCAGGAAGTTTAAGGATGATGGGCAAAGAGCATAACTGAAGCGGGGTGAAGAACAGTCAAAATAATAACAACTGAAAGGATCTGTCATGACTTAGAGAATGGAAGGAGGAGTATCTGGGAGGCATAGACAAGTTTGTAGAGTATTCGCAAGAGTCTAAACCCTCCAAAGCTGGATGCTGTTTACCGCTGGGGATTCAGTTTACAATTGCAACCCAAAAGTTCGTTTAACGTATTCAATCCTCTTGGTTAAGTGGTACATCTTCTCGGTGGAAAGTCATGAGTTCGATTCCTACTGTTGAACTTATAGAGGGTTTGACTCTTCAAGCATGGGAAGAGGGTCCCATACCAAGAGTAGTGTTACGATCCTGGCCAATTCCAAAGTGCAAATACACAGGGAAATACAATACCATCCAATTGCAAAAGAAATGAATGAGCTTGAGTGGAGAGAGATACGAAGTAAGAAGAAGAAAAAGAAAGAAAGAAGAAGAAGAAGAAAGGAAGAAGAAGAAGAAGATGTGAACTCCCTTGAATGGGCCTTCTATTGATGCACGCTAGCGCCATTGGTTAGCGCTACCGCTCATGCGCTAACGAACGCGTTTTTTCACTCTGTAACTCCCGCCACCGCCCCACAGCGCCACCCGCGCACAGCGTTTTGCCGCAGTGCGATCAGTAATTCTCGTCACGCTCAGCTTTCCAAAACAAGTGGGAAAACGACTCAGGGGTGCCAAGCCTTCGGGCGTGGCGAACGGGAAACCATAGCCAATCCAATCCTCTTTGAGGACAAGAGCAACAAGGACAAGAACTTGAGTAGAGGTGGGCATGAAAGAGACGAACCATAGGACAATGAGCAGGGCAACTATCGAAGGGAGTGCTTGAACACCAGAGATGTTCCAAGGGAGGGGAAGTGAAGAAAAAACGAGGAAATAGTAAAATACACAATGCAGGGAAGGGGCAGGGACGGGCACAAGGAGTAAAACGTCGGGGACAAGGATTGGAACAAGGTGTGTTGAGGAATTGAAGTTGAAGAGTGGAGAAGGGGAGAGACAGCAAGACCCGGAAATGACAACGCTGAGCACAACAAGAAAGGGAGAGAGGTGCAGAACACGTTCACGGAGCGTGACTTTCCTTGAACGGCTCTTCCAAGAGGGAGGATTATGCCAGCGGAAATAGTAGGATTTCTTGCTAGTCCCGATAGCACCAAGAGCCATCCTTTCAGGTGACACTCACACTGTCCGTATCGCCCAAGTAAATAAGTTGAGTTGACAAAATACCAGTTTTCATGTCCTCCTCATCGTATCGCAACCCAGCCAACTTCGGTAATGCGGCGGAGAATCCGACAAAGCAGCCACGATCGAAACTCGACAAGCGCCAGGGAGCATCCTATAAAGGGGGAAGAGGAAGTCACCACACAATTTCACTAGGATATCAATCAAGCGGCTTCACAGAGAGAGAATACGCTGATTCAAACACGAGGGAAAAGGAATCGAGAAGAGACAAAGGCGATCCGGAGGGTAGATCGGAGATAGGGTAAGGGCAAAAGTGGTCTCTTTCCACCATTCCTCACGCTGACAGACGACATCGGACTCACCCCGCAGTTGGCTCTCACCTTTCCTTGATCCCACAGATAGCATGAACCAGTCATCTGCGGGTTTTTTTTTTTTTTTTTACCAAATCATTACCACACCATTATTCTAATTATTATCATCATTAATTGTGCCAAAATTGCCAATACTGTTTAGTATTCCATTATTATTATCATTATTTTCATGGTAACCGCGGACCCGGACACTGGACACTTCCAGACTGTATTCTGGACGAGTGTCTGGACCGGTCCGGACTGTCCAGTGATCTGGAGACAACCGGACATCCAGACATCACCGGACCCGGACAGTCCGGACCGGTGTCAGGGGGCCAAAAATTTCCGGACCAAAAAAAGGGTTGGGGGGTGGGGGTGGGGGAGGGGGGAGCTGTTGGCGGGCACTCATCTGCTTTGCACTTCGTAGTTCTGGCAGCAGAGCGCCTGTCTTGCAGCAAATCAACAAGCACATTCAATTAGCAGACATGCGGAGTTGCAAACAGTGAAAAGCACTCTTAAGACTAAAGAAACAGACAACAGGAAATTAAGTAATTTAAGTTCATAACTTCATATACTACATGTAGCTTAAAAGTTCGAACTTTGAAGTTCACTTCAGAACTTCAGAGTCTTCAGACTGGCAGCACTGGCAGCTCTCTCTCTCTCTCTCTCTCTCTCTCTCTCTCTCTCTCTCTCTCTCTCTCTCTCTCTCTCTCTCTCTCTNTCTCTCTCTCTCTCTCTCTCTCTCTCTCTCTCTCTCTCTCTCTCTCCCCGCTACTCTCCAAATGTGCAAAAGGGGAATGAATCTTTCGTTACAACAAGGAAAGATGCATTGCCACTGTTTTTTTCTTTTGTGTAATTGCGGGCAGTAGTGGAGCGAGGCCCTTAGTAGGGAAGTCGAACCCGCCCTTGCCCGCCCTCATACAACCTCGCTCCACGACCCTCCAAACGTGCAAAACATGAGTGAATCTTGGGAATGAATCTTTCGTTACAACAAGGAAAGATACATTGCCACTGTTTTTTTTCTTTTGTGTATGTGGGCAGTAGTGGAGTGAGGCCCTTAGTAGGGAAGTCGAACCCGCCCTTGCCTGCCCTCATACAACCTCGCTCCACTACCCTCCAAACGTGCAAAACATGAGTGAATCTTCTGCTAGAACACGGAAAGATGCACTGCCAGATTTTTGTCTTTTGTGCCTGTCATTAGTAGTGGAGCGAGTCCCGTACTGACACTACGGGGAAAGTATTTTCCTTTGGCAGAGACAGTCTCAGACAGATGTCGAGCGCGGCTTCAAAAAACAATTGTGCAAGCCATCTCTTAATTTTGCCAGGCAGGGACACTTTGATTCACCTACCCACCCGACCTTTTTTTTTTTTTTTTTTTTTTTTTTTTTTGCAGGTACGGTTTAGTGCCGATATGTCATTTGGCATGGGCTAGTGCCGATATGACATGACACAGATAATATTTTTTATATATATATATATATATTTCCCCCTTTTTTTTTTTTTTTTTTTTTTTTTGAGTGGTAATATCATGTGGCCTCTTTTAGGGACCCTCATCGTTTCAACTGTGTGAGAACGCGTCCAGTGTACCAACAAAACAAGCCGTCACATGAGAAACCAATGTAGCTGCTAAGACCACTCCCTATTCCATCTGGGCCTAGAGAATCTATCTCCATCAACCTCATCCGTCTGGTCAAGCGTAGAAACGAAAACAATCGTCAAGCGTAGAAACAAAAACAATCGTCAAGTGTAGAAACAAAAACAATCTAGTTACGGTCGTAGTTGTACTCTTCCTTGAAGAAAATGTCTACCAAAAGTTGCTGCCACCTGTACTACGATCGCGCCGAAGTTCTCAAGGTTGTAGGCGATCACGATGAACCCTCCCCTCCGATGTGATAGATATTCCCCTGCATCTCCAAACTTGTCTTCCACGCAAGTAAACTTTTTTTTTTTTTTTTTTTTTTTCTTATGGCAGCCTCAGTTCCTGTGTCAAAGGTTGATCATCTATAGTCTCTTCCTGGCACTCTTCTTTGAACCAATGGAAGATAAGTCTCTCTCCTTCGATAGTCGCGACTTTGCCCTGGGCTAGTACCCTTTTCTGGAATTTGGTTAAGGTATCCTTTGGCCTTTCTGGGTTAAGGGCCACTTGCTTCTTTGTCCTTTCCCAGAACGCCCTAATCTCTGTCTCCAACAGGCTATAAAGAATTGCCTTGGCTTCCATTCTAGTCATCGGAGTCTTGCCCACCACTTGCTGACGTCTTTGTTTCCAGATTGTCCATAAAGTGTACTGTCTCAGCAGCTGAAAGATAAATTTGTGACCTGCCCTCCACCCCCTAGGCTCCTCATCTTCGTGTTTTGTGGGAAGGGGACCTCCGTAGTGTGTGACCATAGTGAACGAGCTAAGGACCAGAGATGTTCTGCGTCCGGGCAATGGAGCAAGCATTGGACCAGAGTTTCCAGAACGCCTCCCCTACACATAACGCAGTCTAGATCTCTGTCGTTCCTATTGAGCCTGTTTCGCTTATCGAACAGCCAGACATTGACCGGGAGTGTTACATGAAAGATGAGCCACTGCATGCTCCTGACCTTGGCCAATCTGATACTGTGCAAAGATGACCATGGTTACCTTTCTAGCTGTTCCCTTGGTATATCCACTCTCTTCTCCCATCTTATCGCGAAAATGTGATCTAAATGACATGATCTCCCCTTTAGACGGTAGCCCAATTTAGTGGAGGATACTGTACTCCAGCATAGGCCAATGACAAGGCTCTTCTTCTTCGCCAACCAATCTCCTCTTCCTTATCTCCTCCCCTCTTATTCAAACAAGAAATAAC